CCTTCAAAATGGCAAATCCCCCCCCCCCCTCCCCACCCACCCACCGAAGTCCCTATTCCTCGGGTTCCTGTCTCCTCGACTCGAAAGAGCCCCAAACCCCTACGTGAGCACTGCATTTCACTTCAGTCTCCACGCAGAAGAGCTAGGTTTGCAGGGATTGTCTACTTATGTTTGCAATACAGGGCAGCAACTGGAAAAATGCCCCCCACCCCCAGCACTTCATAGTCTAAAACCACACTCGGGTCTCGAAGCAAGAAAAGCAAACCCCAAAATAAATAGGAGGGATCTTACTTGAGGCATTTCCGCGTGCCCAGGCACTTATGCACACAAATAATAATACTGTAATGAAAACGCTAATACCGAAATGGAAGCGAAGATCATTAACCAGCAAGGCCAACAGTACCTATGGGCCTTGCTGATTAATAATAATAAGCATTTTTGCTTCCTATCTTGCTGATAGCCTCGGAGAGGTAATTATTTGTATATGCCACCAAGCCAGGTCTGATGTTTTTGTCTTTGCATTAAAAGGTTCTCTGTCTGTAAGGTATTTAACTCGTGGTGTTTGATTATCTCGTATTCTATTAAATCGCACTAAAGGCAGCTGCCTCGTAGTTACTGCTGTCGCTTGTTTTTCTTTTCTTCTTCCCCACCCCCTTTGGATTTTTATTTCCTTATTGTTGTCAGGCCCCCAAAAGAAAACCATAACAGCCTCCTGCTGTAGCCAGCGAAAGATACGCATCTTTTTGCGGGTGCCTATACTTAAATGTAAGCCTGCCCAGAGAAGCAGATCAGCAACATTTCTGTAGGAGGCTTTTCCAAGTTGTTCCGCCCTTGCTGATGGGCAGGGAAGGGAAAAGTCTTTAAAAAAATATATCTATCACAGGGAAAACACAGTTTTATCAACTGGCAGGTAAGTGCTGAGATCTGAAACAGGCACTGTGTAAACACAGCGGATCGACTTTTTTTAAAAAAAAGAAGAAGAAAAGGCTTTGCTTTACAGAGTCAATTTCCCTGGCACCTGAAAATCGAAGCTCCATGCGTGTGACAAACAAGGAAGTGCGGCTCTCCCGCTTGACAAGAGCGCCCTCACCTTGCTGCTCGCAGAGCAGCGCCCAGGCAGGCTCCGGGCTCCGGCAGCCGCACTGCTCCGGCGGGCCCGGGACAGGCAGGGGCAGGGGCAGGGCAGATCTCGGCCCTGCTCCGCATCTTCAGCTCTACGGACATCTCCGGCCCTTGTCCCTGCAGCAGCTTTGCGCTGAATATACCAGAAGCAGCATGCCGCATAGCCATCACGAGAGAAGTGTACAGATAGGCAGAAAGGGACGTCTAAAACTCGACCCCGGGTTAAAGCAATCCAGTAAAACCTTCATTGCGGAACCGATTCAGTCGTGGGGCAAATTTCTGCCAGACTGCCAGCCACGTGTCAGCTTACTCTAAACGGGACTCTTTGCTTTGAGTTCTCCATTTCTTTGCGCTGAAAAATGAACTGTACACTCGGATATGAAAGAGGAGATCAAAGCAATCAATACTTCATTACCACTTGCTCTGATTACGTTCAGCAGGTGCCGTATCTCGCAGCATTTTGGTAACTTAAATTGGTGGATTAAAAATTAATTATTTTCCCGAGCTTACAAATTAAGGGAACAAGGGAATTCAATTCATTTACAGAGCGGGGCACGATTCAGTGTTTGTTTCTTTTTTTTTTCCCTCTCCCAAGCAGCTCAAAGGCAGAAAAACGAGAATTTTAGTCCGTCTGAGATGCAGACTTTTTCATGTGTAGCAATATGATCAAGTCTGGTAAATCAGTGACCCCAGCTCCTGATACTGCAAGGACTGTCGAGGTCTGCAACGTCAATAAGTATTTTAATTACGGCAGACCTGGGAATGGTGGGCAGTGGGAGGAAGAGGGGAAAAAATGCGTCGATTTTAAAATAAATAAAATAAATAAATAAATGTCGTCAAACATCGCTTTCAGAGTTTGAAATGTTAAAGCTGTTTTTTCATGGGGAAAGTTTCTGCCGGTTGGTTTATCCACAGCGACCCCGATGTCAATTTCTAAAATAAAGGAAAAGAGAACTTCTGTCTTTGCTCCCCCAGAATTGCTGATAGTAGTGGCTTTCTGGTGAATTTAGGAAAAACCAGCGTGATCTGTCCCCCTGAAAGTCGCCAGGACCGCCTATCCGTGCCTGAACCGCTGCGAAGTCAGAGATTTGAATCTCTTGTTTTAGAAACACTCTTGGTCACCGCAGTGTAGCTGTTACGGGGACTGGGGAAGTAGCGATTTTAATTCTTAACAGACAAAAACCAAAACAAAACAAATACCCCAAACTACTGCTGTTCACTCCAAATATTTCTGGTTTCAAATTTGATCGCAAAGCTGCATCACGTCGAAAGATCTACGCGTAATTGTTGCTGCACTGAATAAACCAGACAACCCCCCCCCCCCC